GTCCTATTTACTTTAGGTGGCATTGTTGATGTGAAAAATACCTTCTGACATAAGTTAACAACCTGCAGAGAGTATGTTCCAGTACTTCTGGTAGAAGAAAAGGTGTAGTCCATCAAGCCCATGTGCCTTAAAATGTTTGAAACAGTCAATGGCTTTCTTAATTTCGGTGGACCTAAGAAGGAGGTCTAGGGATGCCCTCCTGTTATAAGATAGGACCAGTGGAGTGTCATCATTGCAACTGCTTTTGTAGCTAGATGAGACATGTGATGTGGTGAAGAGGCTTCCAAAGTACCTTCTGATGGTTTCATTAATAAGTTGGGGTCCTTAATTTGGTTACCTACTTCATATGTTAAGCTTATGATCTTATTTCTCCTTCTTCTGTTAATGGTAGTAGTGTGAAAGAATCTAGTATTGGCATCTCCCTCGCACATCCAATCCAATTAATCCTGGATTTGAGCTTTTCTTCCAAAAATCCTCCTCATTTTAAGGATAGCTTAGAATTCAACTTGAAGGTTATTTTCTAAGTCTTATATGTATCTAGTGAAAGAGTAAGCATTAGATCTCTAAATGCCATTGAGCCCGGCAAGAATTTGCTTCTTTTTGTGGAAGATGTTTTATGTGTTTGCGTCAACGATACTTAGTTTCATAATATAATCTTTATTAGTTGTCGAAAAAATAATAACCAACAAGCAACGAAGAAAAGAAATAAAGAAGAAATAATGAAGGTTGAAAGAAGTCATTAGGATTCGAACTCACAAGACAACAATTTAAATTATCATTTCTTGACCACTCCTTTTTTTTTTTGGATCTTAAGCCGATGTTATCATTAGAAGTTTAGTTATATTTAAAATTTTAAACTATTGGTAGAAAACAAAAAACAGCTAAAAAAGCAGTCAGTGGATGACACATGCTTCACTTTGTGCAAGGTCCTCATAAATTAAGGGCATGTTTGGTGTGAAGGAAAAAAAATCTTTTTTTTAAAATTTTCTCATGTTTGGTTGGCTTGAATATTTTGAAAAATAATTTTTTAACTCTTTTTTCTTCAATTAGAGAAAAATAATTTTCCTACCAAAAGGAGGAAAAATATTTTCTAAAATTCTTTCTCAACCTTCCCCACCCCACCCCCACTCCCTCTC